TTACCCTCTTAACTTTCGTATGTATCATACAGCAGTGAAAACTACAGTCATCATAAGGCACATTACATCCCTAGTACTTACTTATCTTGTAATTAGAAGTGTGTACTTCCCTTACCTCCTGTCTCTGGTAACAACAAATCTGACCTCTTTTCTGAGTTTTGTTTTGTTTTCAGATTTCACATATGAGATCATATAGTATTTGTCATTCTCTAACTTATTTCCCACAACAAAATGACCTCAAGGTCCATCCCTGTTGTCAGAAATGACAGGATTTCCTTGTTCTGTTTTTTATGGCTAATAATTCACCATATATATAAAAATATTTATATATTTTTAATCCATTCACCCATTGATGGACACTTAGATTGCTTCCATGTTTGGCTATTTTAAATAATGCTACTATGAACATGGGGGTGCATGTTCATATTATTCTCCTCATATTTTAAGTTATGCTTTATCATTCCTAGCTTAGACTTTTCTGGCCATTCATTTTTCAACTCACAGCAACCAAACAGTTCTGCAAAACTCCCTCTATCAAAAGGTACCAAGAGATGTCAATCTCAGAGGTCTCTCCATATTCACCCTACAATCCTTGTAGTTCTCTTTCACACTAGATGATGTACACATTCTTTACTTAAAGCTCTTGGTTTTTGGTTTTTCCAAGTTTTCTCTCCACCTTCTCTTTCACATGTTGCCTCCTTCATTTCACAATCTCTAAGAGGAGAATTAATCCCCCAATTTTCTCCCAGACTTTCTTCTTTTTCCTTTATCTCAGGAATCTTTGTTATCTCAAAGGTTCCCAATTTTTTCATCACCCTCTACCTCTTTCCCAGGCTCTTAAACCCCCTTTTTTCTTCCCTGCCAAAGAGCTTTCGTGGATGAACTTTATTTCCCTCTAAATCAAATACTAAGTGTCTATTAATGGCTTATCCTGTCACTCAAGATATAATCTTTAGAACTATTTTTCAATCTTTCTTCTTACAATGGTCAACAGATCAGTGTGATCTTAAATTGAGGTCTTAAATTAGATTAAATAATCTAAATCAAAATCATGAGAAAGGATTGTTAAAAATGCAGATTCCTATGCTTTGCGCTGGACCAACTAAAAAGGATTTCACACAAGAGTGCGGCAATCTGCTTTTTAAATAAACACCCCATGTAAGTCTTAGGCAGACTATGCTTGGGAACTACTGCATTATATCAAGTTTCATTTAATTCTGCAGATTCTACCTTTTCAATGTTCTTATTTGTTTCTCTCCTTTCCTATGGAATTTGCCCTAGTTTAGGGCTATTTAATCTCTTAGCTGGACATCTGTAATATGACTTCTTTGCCTCCAGGATATTTTCCACTCTAATTTATCCTACGTACTGGAGTCTTACTAATCTTACTAAGTCACAGCTCTGCTCATTTAATGTGACAAGAATTTATTGAGAGCATACTATATACTAGGTGCTCTAGGGCAGGAGGTTCCCAACGGGGCTGATAACCAAAGTCATTAAGTGAGAGAAGCCTCTTCAAAATAGATTCTCTACCACCCCTCCAGGCCTATTAAATTAGAATCTCTAGAAACAAAGTTGAGAAACTTATTTTTAAAAAGTTCCACAGGTGACTCTGATACTTTTGGGCAATACCAGATTGGAGCATATAAAGGCTAAGATATTCTTGTGTATTTCAGAGTGAACTAAGAGAGATGTGAACATATGCAAGTACCTACCATACAATACATTGATTAATGCTATATTAGAAGTACCAGGTACTGTGGGAAAGATTGATTCTAACTTCACTAAATACCTTTAGTAACATTCCCTGATGGAAGGAAGCTTTCCTCCTCTAATTTCCCACAGCACATCTATTATTCTCTTATCATCTCACTTTTATCTTGCCCTATAATTATTTTTGTATATATCTCATGTCCTCTACAATTGTACTTCAAAGCCTTGGTCTTTTGAGGGCAAATAATCTGACCAGGAATCTTGAGTTCTATTTACAGGATGAAGCTGTACTCCCCCCCCCCAAAAAAAAAACCAAAATTATCCATAGCTATGCACTTAATTATCTCAAAAATAGGATGTCCCTATAACTCTTGGATATGAGGACAAATTTATGGATTTTAATCACAGTATAGCATTCAGTAAAGTTCCTTCAACATGCGTACTGCACATAAAGTTATGTGTGAATCAATGGGATCTGAAGAAAATGCAACAACATACTTATTATGTCCAGTATCTACCATAAAAGGCTATAGATTCCAAATGAGATAATATGCTGGTGGTTTTTGCAAACCAATGCCTTGTAAGCCAAAACTAGTCAGTCTGTCTGTTTTGTGTGGATAGGCCAAGCAAATTTGGGGGTATGTTTTATTTACAAATTAGTTTGTAAAATTTGGATGCCTGGGTGGCTCAGTCAAACATTCAACTCTTGATTTCAGCTCAGGTTATGACTTCATGGTTCCTGAGTTCAAACATTGTGTCAGGCTCCACACTGTCAATATGGAGCCTGGTTGGGATTCTCCCTCTCTCTCTGTCCCTCCGTTTGCTTGCTCTCTCAAAATAAATAAATGTAAAAAATAAATTTTAATTTAAATGTCTTGTTTCGGCAATTATCCTGATATACCACAGGCTCTACTACTCCCTATTATCTTACAGTAATCTGAGTTTACACATTTAAGGTTATATACATGATCTAAAGAGGAGAGTTCTAATGGTGACAGACAATTGCTCCAAACCATTTCTGCTTTTTGAGTGTTGGCTATTATAATGGGCTGAATTTCATGCAACCCCCACATTCCTATGTTGAAGTCCTAATCCCCAGCACCTCAGAATGCAGCCATATTTGAAAGTAAGATATTTAAAGAGATAATTTAGATAAAATAAGGTTTTTAGGATAGACCCTAATCCAGTATGAATGGTGTCCTTTTAAGAAGAAATTTGGGAACAGTTTATGTGCACGTTCAAAAAACCATACAAAGACAAAGGCAGAACATGGCCATCTACATAACCCAAAGAGAGAAGCTTCAGAATGAAATCAATCATGCTAACAACCTGATCTTGGATTTTCTACTCTCTAGAATGATAAAGAAAGAAAATTCTGTTTAAGCCACTCAGTCTGTAGTATTTTGTTAAAGCTGCTCTAGCAAACTAATACAGCTATGAATTGTATTTAACATTAATCTTAACTTAGGCATTTTACATCATGTTTGCCATGTTCAAGTCATTCTGCCAGGTACACAGGTGAATACCGTTCTAAGCAGCTTAGGGTCTGGTAGATAAGGTAAATTATATATAAGATACAATTATCAACATAAATAAGAAACATTACAGGCCCTAAAGCAAAAAAGCCAAATAAAGACAAGCATTTTAATTCTATAGGTGCTCTGGAGTGAGACTTGTCTACAGGCTACATCTCAAAAAATTCAGAATTTGACCTAGCTCTTAAAAAATAAGATGCAACTAAGCAGAGGAGGAAGGGCATCTAGGTGAGAAAAACAGTGTACAAAGTCAAATATATCTACTATTAGAGGAAACATTTTTTCCCCCAAGTACAGGTACATCTAACAAGTTTCCTTTCTTAACTCTAAAGCCACTCTCTGTATTTTTAAATTAAGTCCTTATAAAATTTAGGCATTTTTTTTTCCCCTGCCAGATAAATAATTGTTGAAGTGACTTTGTTCAGCATAATACTGACATTCAAAGGATGTGGTTCGTCTCTATGGTCTCTTGGGCTTCTGCTGAGATTCAGTTTTATTTTCAAACGGTCTGTGAAGGCAGTTAAGCAACTCATGGAACATTCTCTTGAGAAATTCTGGCCATTTTTAAATCCCTTGTCTATAAATCTCATCATGTTATATGGCTCCACAATGCAAGTAGCCTGTGTTTTCTTAAGTGCCGCCTCTTCTGAAGAACGTATCACATAGTTCATTAATGTTTCATACCTAAACATTCTAATGTATTTAATTTTTTAATGAAATTTCTAACCTAGAGGCTGAGGAAGTTACTCAAAATGTTTCATCCAAGCTGCTGGAAAAGTGCTCATTAGCAGGGAGTTTTGAAGATGGGATATGAAGAGGTTGGCAGGAACCTAAACACATATAGATCTAAACTTTCATAAATGCTTCCCTGTCTTAACTCTAGAGGAATAAATTCTTCCTGATAAACAGGTAAGTTTTGCTAAAGTTTTCTTTTAGATTTTGGTGACTAGAATTTAACGACTCGTGTGATTTGTTAAAAGATGTGTTTTAAAGCCACAAGATTTTTTAAAAATAATTATCTGTAGAAAGCCTTCTCTTGATTATTTCAATGTTTACTTTCATAACTTATGTGAAACCCATATCCTCAAATGAGACACACGCTGAACCAAACGCACTATATTTAGCACCTGGTTTCAATTATTTTAGGCTACAATGATTCTCTTTTAAAAAAAAAAGGAGACTCAGCTGAATTAGTTTGGTTCTTTGAATGGTTTAGACTCAAAGCACCTGTCCATTTTACCATCTGCCTTCAGATTTATGGGAGATTAAGAATTTAACAAAGGGGGCGTCTGGGAGGCCAAGTCAGTGAAGCCTTGTTTTCGGTCCAGGTCATGATCTCCAGGTTTGGGAGTTTAAGACACACATCGGGCTCTCTGCTGTCAGCACAAAGCCTGCTGCCTGGGATCCTATGGGCCACCCCATCCTCTCAAAAATAAATAAACATTAAAAAAAATTTTAAGTCAGAGAAGCTCTGAGACTGCTACAGAGAATCTGAAAATTCAGGTCTTTGTCCATTACCCAGGTAGATGGAATTCGGCAGTCAGGAAGAACCAAATTTTAAAATTTAACAGTAACTCGAATTGTACCCAGTGTTTTAAAACTACAAAACGTGTACAGTGTCGTCAAAAATTCGCACTGTAAGAAATTACTGATTTTTTTTCTTTTTTGAATACACGTTCCTCGTGTGACAAAGTAGACTAGAGTCTCCGTAACCCCCTATTTAACGAGGGGATAGGGTTACCACACGCTTACCTTAGGGAAACAACGTGCACTTTGTAACTGAGCAGGAATATCGTTTGGTGAGAGAGAAGGATAAAGAAAACGGAGGCTGGTGGTGTGACCCTAGCACAGGCCCGCCGTTACTCTTGAGGAAACTGCCTCAGCGCGACAGCTCCTCGTCCACCTAGCAGGGCAGCTTTTCCCGCGGAGTCTTGTCTTCCGGCCAGAAGTCACCTCGGCCCGCCCACCCGGAAGCCGTCGTCTTGGTAACTCAGTACCGTCCCTCCCGCAATACTTTTCCACGCCCACCGATTGGCGCGTCCTGAGCCAGTCTGTCTTTGATTGGCCCTTGTCTCCTTCACTCTAAGAGACGTTTGAGGCGGTGAGATTCCATACCTCGTACTTGAATTTGTGGCGCGTAGAGTCCGTGAGGTGCAGAATGGAGCCGGGCGTCTGACTGGAGTTAGCAGTCTGTGGTGAGCGACCCAGAAGGGAAAATGGCAGAAAGGGCGGCCGGAGGTGGAGGGACACTGAGTCAAAGAGGCCGTCTAGACATGGGGGACTTCACTCGGGCAGCTTCGCTTGCCTGAGGCAGGACCTCTGTTCACGGACTCTCAGTCTCTAGATTCAGACCTGGCGTCGTTTTCCTCTCGATTCAGAGACTGCACGTCTGCCCGGGTTCAGTCGCCCCTGAAGGAAGCTTCCTCCTAAGGCCATCTTTCCTCTTTCAGTGCCTTTCCCAGAAACAACTCTCCAGCTCTGATGTGCTTACAACTACTAACTCACTTTATTCCCCACTGATGTCTTCCACAATTCAATTCTCGACACCCTCACCAGCAGAATCAGAAGGAAACTTTACATCTCCCCTTGACTGTGGAAAAACGCCTTGGCAGCGATTGTTGAGTGTCTCGCACCTCACAAACTGAATGTAGAACGTTCCTCATCAAGAAAGAGGATGCTGTTGTTGCTAATCATCCTCAGGGGGAATGTAGTGAAGGTCACGTGGAGAGCGCATGTGAAAGCGTTCTATAAACCACCACAGAAATGTAAGTTACTATTGTTGCAGTTGCTGACTCTTCATATCAAAAACATGGTTATCTTATTCTTGGACAGACCCATCGATACATGCATTTCATATATATATGCTGGAGTAGTTAAACTCTTGATCTGAAACAAAAGCAGTCACTGATTGAAACCCCTTCACTAAATTTTGCTTTCTTTGTCTGGTAAAACATGATTCCCCCCCCCCCTCCTTCCCCCGGCTCCCCATTGTAAGAGATTCGGGACCATTTCAGAAGTTTTATGCTATAAATGGACAGCTTTCCTTAACATCCCCTAATAAAATCCTCCGTTTCTTTCTAATTTGACAACTTACTTAATTTTCTGTATGTTCAGGCTCTAGAACAGAGGTTCTTTGGTGGGGAGAGTGACGTAGTCCCCACTAAGAACCAAGAAAAACCATGGAGGTTTTGTATAGAATATGATAGATGCACCCAAACATTTTATAGCAATTTCAGGGAGTTGTAGAGGCCCCTTGAAAGTATGGATATTTGTAGGACCCCAGTCCAATTCTAAAAGTTCATTTCGATTTTTTAAGAAGTAGAAATAGTTTGGCAAGAAGAGATGTTTTACTTTAAAAAAAAAAAGACTGTCATTTAACGCCTGGGTTATTTTGAGACTTAAGTTCTGATGGAAGTGGGAATTGAGAAGTCTGAAGCAACTGCATGAGTAGCTAAACTTCTAAATGAGCATTGATTTAGGAATTTTAGAGAAGTCACTGAAATGCTTTTTAAGGTCTTAGGAAAGCCTTCACAGGTGAGGGTAGTATATGGGCACACAGGCATACAAGAAATAAGTTGACAAGATTTTGTTTCTATCCAGAGTCTTTTTGAATTAACATAAAAAGTAGGAAATTCTTGAACAACACTAAGAGTTCAAGTAAGTATGTGCCTTAATTTTTTGGATGTTGCATATTGAAATAATTTTTAGTGTGAAATTCTATCAACACGTCAATTATAGATTGTCTTCTGAACTATTTCAAACATTATTTTTTCACATCAGAAGTTTAGTTCACCTGAAACTTAGTTTTGTGTATCATGGGAAGAATGGCTTATCTAATTTTTTTTGTTTTGTTCTTGTTTGGAAAACCATGGCCCATGGGCCAAATCTGGCCCACTCTCTGATTTTGTAAATAAAATTCTGTTGGAACACTGACATACCATTTGTTTACTTGTTGTCAGTGGCTACTTTTGTGGTACTATGTCAGAGTTTAGTAGTTGTGACAGAGACTGCATAAGCCTCAAAGCCTAATACATTACTCTCTCTCCCTATACAGAGAAAGTTTGCCAACCCCAGGAATAGGACATCCTTCTCCCCACTGAATGGATAGTATCATGTTTGTCCCATATATCTGTCATTGTTTTTGAGTTATCTAGTCTGTCTCATTTATGGAGCTCTGCACATATAACTCAATGTTTTAATTGCTTTAACTCTAAAATAAGACAATATTCAATCAGTTAAATTTCTCTCCTTCTGTCCCATACCAAGTTGTTTTTTGCCTTTCTTATTTTTGGCCCTTTGATCCTCCATATGAATTTTATGATCCATTTATTAAATACTATGAGAAATACTTTGAGGGTTCGATAGTAATCGCTTTGAATATATAGTTTTTGGGGAAAAGAAATATCTTTATGATATTCAGTCTTTCCATCCATGAACATAGTATATCCTGATTGTTGTTATGCCTTTTAATGTGATTTTCTAACCATTTCCTTATGAGTGTTCATTGTGGTTGCCTAGTTTTAGAATTAGGGCAAGACTGGCTGGTTTCTTGAAATGATCTAAGATGTATTCCTTCTACTTCTTGAAGAGTTTGTATAGGATTGGTAATATTTCTTTGTTAAATAGAACCCATCCATGTAGCCATCTAGGCCTGGCATTTTCTTTGAAAAGGTTTTAATGAAATTAAGAAAATGAGAACAAACTCTACTTGGCCTACATCTTACCATTACTGGCACTCCATTTGTTTGTGCAGGTCTTAAGTTTATATCATTTTCCTGAAGTATGAAGAACTTCCTTGAGCATTGTGTATAGTGTGACTTGTTGGTATTTATTTGCTTAAAAATGTTATTTAACTGATTTTTGAAAGATTTATTTTTATTTACTTTTAAATATTTTTTTTGAGAGAGCCCATGTGCACAAGTGAGAGAGGGACGGGGGCGGGGGGGGGGGGGGGGAGAATCCCAATCAAGAGTTGGATGATTAACCAACTGAGGCCCTGAAAGATTTACTCTAAACTACATATATAACTTTTTTTTTTTTTTTTTTTAGCAGTTTTACATTCTATTGTCCTCCTGCTTAGGTTGTTTGTTTTTCTGTTTGCCGTTGAAACTAATCTGGTATTAATTAGAATGTTAGAAATTTAGATGTTACTTGTAATCTCCAGCACAATTACTAAGTATACCCAGAATACATAGTAAAAGAAACACCATGGGAATTTAGTTGGTCCATTAGAAAATAACACGCAAAAAAAAGGCAGGGATGGAGGAAACTTTGGACAAACTATATAATGCATACAGAAAACAAATGGAGAAATGATACATTTTAATGCTACCTGGTGATTAATTAAGTGTACTTGGATTAATTACACATCCGATTAAGAGGCAGATATTGGCAGAATGGATAAAAACTACACTCTGTCTCTATACCATCTACAAGAGAGTCTTGCTTTTTTTTTACGCTAAGCTTGTTTTTAGTTAAATATTTGAAGTTGTATTTTGTTCTCCTGTATGTAATCTGTCTATTTTTGGCTGCTTATTTTTATTTTTATAATTTTAAAAATATTACAGCATGTGCACACATATACATGAGCAGGGGAGGAGCAGAGAGAAAGAGAGGGAGAGAGAGAATCTCAAGCAGGCACTGAGTGCAGAGCCCAGTGTGGGCTTGATCTCACCAAAAGGGAGATCATGATCTGAGCTGAAATCAAGAGTTGGATGCTTAACTGACTGAACCACCCAGATGCTCTACTTTATGTAAAACTTATTTGGTGAAACATCATTGAAATCTCTTGCTTATTTTTTATATAGCTTTATTGAAGTATAATTGACATACAACAAATTGTATATATTTAAATCATATATTTTGATAACTTTTGATACATGTATGCATCTATCACTACAATGAAATTAATATACATGGATGAACCTTGAAAAAACTTCATTTTAAGTGAAAAAAGACAGTCACAAAAGGTTACACATTGTTTGAGTCTATATAAAATGTCCAGAGTAGGCAAATCTGTAGAGACAGAATGTGGATTAGTGTTTGCCAGGGACTGGAGAAGGGAAAAAGGGAGTGGAGATGGGTTTCTTTTGGGGGATGATAAAGTGTTCTGGAATTAGAATTTATGGTGGCTGAGTAGTTTTGTGAATATTCTAAAAACTGAGTTGTATTTTTTTTTAATTTTTTTTAATGTTTTTTTTTTTAATTTATTTCTAGGAGAGAGAGAGAGAGACAGCGTGAGCAGGGGAGGGTCAGAGAGAGAGGGAGTCACAGACTGAAACAGGCTCCAGGCTCTGAGCCGGCAGTCACCACAGAGCCCGACGCGGGGCTCAAACCCACGAACCGCGAGATCATGACCTAAGCGAAAGTCGGACGCTTAACCGACTAAGCCACCCAGGCGCCCCTAAAACTGAGTTGTATTTTAAAAGGACAAATTTTATGACATGTGAACTATATTTAAAATCTGTTTTTTTCTTAAAAAGAGGGTAAAACCCCACTAGTTGTAATACCCTAATGGGCTGTTTAAACTGCCTTGTTTATAATTGGAGAAACATGAAAACTAACTCAATGTCCACCAGTAAAAGAAAGTTTATAAAAATGAAAAATTGAATGCAAAAACAAAGAAGCTATTAAAATAATGAAGCAGAGAGATTCAATCATCAATTGATGAATCTCACAATCATAATTTGAGCAAAAGAAGATTGCAGAGGAATCTATAACAGGTATAATACAGAATTAAAGTTTAAAATATATAGAACACTGTATAATTTAGTAAAAATATGAAAAATTCATGGAGTTACAAACATCAACTTCCATAGAGTAATTATGAAGATAACTTGTGATTGTATTTGTAGGATAGCAGTGAGGAAGAATACTACTAAGGATGAATGCATTGAGCACTTAAACTATGTTTGTTAATGTATTTTTTCTTAAGCTATATGCACTTCTA